AATGGAAACAGGATGAAGCCCAAATCACAAAATATCAATCACCAGCCCCGCCATCCATTGAGGAAATTGTAGGTCCATTGGGATCAAATAAGCAACTGAATCAAGATGAGGCAGAAATAAAACAAAGAAGAGAGTGATCAATACAAATCAAGCATTGCTGAGTAGAAGCCGTGGTGAAGATCAACCGAATAGTGAGTCGAAAAGGAAAAGAAGACCGGGGCAAAAGAAGGCATGGTCAAGGTGAAGAGGGGCAATTTTGAGGGCAGCAGCAGTAGCCCTCTCATCATCAGTGTCACAAACTAGAGATCATAACAGAAGAAGAAAGGACAAAGATGCAAGATGACAAAAATCGTAGGGATATTACAATTTAAGACACTAACATTTTCATGGGATTCATCAATCTATACTTTGGTATTACAGTTATTGTTTACAATTTAAGACGCGAATAAATTTTTTTATGAGATCACTTCTATTACATGTACTGCTGGTGATGTGGGGAACTGACGTAGTTGTTATTTTTGCAATAAAACTACTAAATCCTTTCAATTTTTTTCCGTCATTGTATGCGTTATTGAGAAGATTTAATTACAATCATATCCTTACTGTACTTATAGTTCACTGGCTTTGTCCATGGCCTGGATTTAGGAGATTAAGTGGTATAGGGTGACCCCATTTTAAAGTTGCTGATTTTGATTCAAGATCCTATACCTCCATTTTGTAGAATATTTTATCCATATTATCGTATAACTTTTTATCCATATATTTTTATTTTGTTTTAATTATATGACTCTAGCTTGCTGAAGCATTTGAAATACAATTTTCAAAAGGAAAACAAATCGAGGATTCAAACATGTATAAGTAGTACGAGTTTGCAACGAGTCACTACAACCCGTATTTACTAAGAGTTGCTTTTCACACGATTGGGTGAAGAAAAACCCTCTCATTGATTCTGAGTATCCTCATTGGCATCTTGGGGTAAGTACATATTTCTATCTTTACTATTTATCCAAGTAATTCATTCATTTGTTTTTTCATTCAATTTTTTTGTCATTCACTTTGTAGGGATATACTCAATGGCATCATATACTTCACATTTACATTGAGACAACCACATGAAGAAATTTGTGCAAACAATGTCTATTTGGTTAATGGACTTGCCAAGTTGGGCAAAGCTCTAAATCCTGAGTGGTAGACATTTGGGGATGACATTGACAAGTTCTGCGGCATAGTCAAGTCTCTATTCAAGTCCAAAGGGTCAAAACTTCCCTTTGGTTTGGATCATTTCGTAGATACGTGCAAAAATACAACAAATTTAAAAAGTACAGTATTTCTTTAATTATGATTTTTTAAGTATTGTATAGTGTTTTTATTCCTATTGATTCTCACACTTTTTGTTATACAGGCATTTGATGAATGCAATTAATCATCCGATCATGTTGACGTTAGATGTAAGATGCAAGTATAGGCTAGAATGGTGTTTAACAAGAGAATAGGCAACTAGCCTATACTCGTATCTTGCATCTAAGATCAACAAGATCTGATGATTAATTACATTCATCAAATGCTTGTATAACAAAAAGCGTGAGAATCAATATAATAAAAACACTATACAATACTTAAAAAATCATAATTAAAGAAATACTATACTTTCCAAAACAAAGAGAAATTTAGACCATTTGGACTTGAAGAGAGATTTAACCATGCCACAGAATTTGTCAATGTCATCCCCCAATGTCTTCTCGTACCATTCAGGATTTACAGCTTTGCCCAACTTGGCATTTCCATTAACTAAATAGACATTGTTTGCACAAATTTCTCCATGTGATTGTCTCAATACATCTTACATATATGATGCCATTAAGTATATCCTTACAGAGTAAATGACCAAAAAAAATTGAATGAAAAGACAAAAAAAAAATGAATAAATTACTTGGATAAATAGAAAAGATGACTTACCCCAAGATGCCAATAAAAGACTTACTCAACCTTTCAGGATACTTAGAATCAATGAGAGGGTTTTTCTTCACCCAATCATGTAGAGTTCCTTCTACCACCTTTGTGAAAACAACAAAACTACTTTGACACTATCCAATTACTCTCAGTAAATACGGGCTGCAGTGACTCGTCGCAAAATCGTACCACCATTGTAAATCTTTTAATTTATACTATTTTGTGTACTTCCAAGGTAACCAATATACATGTTTGAATCCTCAATTTGTTTTCCTTCTGAAAATTGTATTTCAAATGCTTTAGCAAGCTAGTCATATAATAAAAACAAAATATATGGATAAAAAGTTAGCTATAAGATAATATGGATAAAATATTCTACAAAATGGAGGTATATACTATGGTATCTAGATCAACAGCCATCTTAAATCAAAATCAGTAACTCTAAAATGGGGTAACTCTCTGTAACAGATTAGAATAACAAACCACAATAAATAGTTAACATACTTCTAGTGCTACCACTTAATCTCCTAAATCCAAGCCATTGACAAAGCCAACAAACTATAAGTACAATAAGGATATGAAGGCAATTAAATCTTCTCAATAACGCATACAATGACAAAAAAAATTAAAAGGTTCTGATTCAATAGACCGGCAAAGGATCTAGCAGTTTTATTGCAAAAATAATCACGTCAGTTCCCCACATCACCAACAGTACATGTAGCAGATGTGAACTCATAAAACTAAACTAACAAGTAACAAATTACTCTACCAAACAATAACTATACCACCAAAGTATAGACTAATGAATCCCATGAAAATGTTAGTGTCTTAAATTGTAATATCCCTACAGTTATCATCAGTTTTTCAAACTTGAGTGCACATACGAAGATGAATGCAGCTGCATGAACTTAACTTAGAGAATCAAAGCTAAAAGAATCAATATATAGTAAAGAAACCTGATGCATGATTACAGGGCTAAGAAGGTCAACTTAACATTCTGCACTGATGTTTCAAGCTAAGATAGTCCAAGTGATCATAGTCTGGAATTTAGTATTATAATTTAAAACAGTTAAAAGTAAAATATAAATCTCTCTTTCTTAGGTCCACATAGACACAAGTACATACCATATGTATTGATCGTATAGGGGGGAACTATTAGATCACCACTAGTCCCAAAAACTTAAGATGTTAGGAAATGAGCTTAATAATATACATCAAGCTCAAAAGCTTAAGTTGTCTGGAAATGAGCTCAACAATGTATATCAAGCTCTTCAATAGGGACAAGTGACTTTTAGAATGCTGTCATATCAGCATCCATAGAGGAACAAAGGCCATTATATGGTTCCCATTCATCTTAGCACCCTTATCTTCATCATAAATCTTGGAACCCTCTATTTCCAAGCCCCTTAGAGATTGGGTAAGCTTGGATGCTACCCGGGAAAAGTAAAGGGTGATGTCAAACCTAAGGTAGAAAACAACAACATTATTCAAAAAGTGATGTAAATCAGAAGATCAAAACCAATTCCTTTGTGTAAAACTCTTTGCCAAAGTAAACCTCAATGGAACACATACACACACAACAAAATCATGTATTTCAAATTGAAAATCAACCCATTAAAGAAAAGGAATGCAAAGGGCAAGTCATACAATATCTATTAAAAAAGGAATATCTCCATAAAATAAGAGAAAAGGGGGCAAGTCATATAATATCTGACTACATACATTATCCTCTCCTCTTACTATTTGCAAAGAACCAATTGCAACATGATGCCAAGCTCAGTTGATGAAAAACCATAAGAAAGCAAAAGAAATAAAATTCAAACCAATGGCTCAAATTTTCCATTGGCTTTCTTCCTCCGAACTTTCTCAACAACCCTTTTTGTCTCAATATTCAAATTTTATAGTAGATGATGTACTATTATATATCATGTGAGATTATATTGTATCCCATTGTAGTAGATGTACTATTAATTAAAAAATATGATTGTTAATAATATTTTCCCTTAATTAAAAAATAACAAAATAAGAAGATGCATTTTATAATCCAAATTTTAAAAATAAAATAGTATATATCATCCATCTATTATTTGAAAATTGGTTAATGTTACATAAGATTTGGAGTAATTAAAAAAATTTTGGAGTAATTAAAAAAAAATTTCGTCCAACTTAACTTGAAATAATACTCAGATGGATAAATATTTTCAAAATTTTCAATAATTAATTCTTTATTATAATTTTATCCCTAATATTGATTGGACCTAACTAATAATCCAAGTTGTTTTGTTAATTATTGTAACAATCATATTTAAATAATCATATGTATATGTTTTTTCTCATTAAAAGAAAATGGAAGGAAGGGTGAACAATGCATGGAAACCCTCCTTAGATGTGATCATATAGAAGCCCCCATCAGCAAGAAGCCAAACAAGAGGGACGAACCCACAAGCACAGGAGATCCGCATGCCCTCCTTCAAGTACTCAACAACGTATTACAACAATATTTTTGTGGCAATTAACAGTTACCTATTGTTACAAAATAGTTTGTCGCAATATGTCCTAATTTAATCTTTATTGCAACAAATTTATCGTGATGAAACTAATTCGTGGCAGTATTTAACTCCCACTGGCTTTAAAACTTCCTACCATGGAATTTGTGAACTATAAGGACAAAATAATTTTCATCACAATAAATTTACTTATTGCGAAAAATTAGTTTCGTAACAATAACCAAATTTTGTTTAGTGCAAAAACAAAGGTTATAAAAGCTTTAGACTAATCAACTGAGTGATAATCAAAATTACTACATCGAATTCTATCTGCCTATACAATTTCTTAGCTGCTAAGTTCGATCAAGTAGAAGATCAAATGGAGTATCTCAACAAATGGCTACAATGTCGGTGGTAGTATTTGTGATTGTATTTGTGTCAAGTGGGTGAGTGAAAATTTTCTTCTTTCTCCCATAATCCTATTCAATGAATTCAATTAAAATTTGATTACTAACTTTGTACACACATTAGATAAGTTAGTATTTAAAACGGCAAATTTGCTGATTACTTCAAGCTAATTAATTACTTTTTTGGCTGATGCATCAAATGTTGATAAAGCAAACAGGTTCATTAATACCTAGGCCGACAAGTTTGGCAGGCTTTTCACTCCACCACGAAGGCGATAACCTAAATGACCACAATTAGCAAAATAATCAACGTTATACACGTCAAAGAAACTATAATCCGTGAAACCAATAAATTACCTCTTAACAATGAATCAAGCAATTAACTTCATGACGAATGCCTAATTAATTAAAAATTCCAATTGCAATAGTTAGGACCATACCAGTCATGAAGTTGAATGATGAAAGAAAATTCAAAACATTAATAGGTAGGCTTTGGATACTGGCTTACAGAATGAACACCAAGCATAAGTGTGTCAGTTTATTAACAAAAAAATAGTGAAGAACAATAATACTTTATCACGTATTCGGTGATATGAAAACAGTTTCTTATCGGATTCTTATAATTTTTAATTTCAAAATTAGTGTGTCAGCTTCTTAAAACAATTATTGTTGTTATACTCTCTCTTTCTTATTACTGTGAAGTAGGTGTCCTGCTTCTTTTGTATTTGTACAGATTTTTAGTATTTACTATTTACAAAACCAATAATATAACAAAGAAGCATATGGAACATTCTTTATTGGAAGTCACTGGAACTAATTTTCAACTAGGACATTTGTTAAGTGGGAAAAAAATTTAGCTAGAACCATAAGCGTAATTTTTTTTCTTTATGTATTAACGTTTACTTTGTTGGGCATATATTTGTTGGGTTGAGAAGGCTTCAAATGCCTGTGGCACTAAGCAAAGGAGTGGGAAGCCCTAATGCAATCAAATGGGAAGTATGTCAAGATAGGCACCACGAAACCACAATGTAGACTTTTGTATGACGCATTATTAAATTAGCTCAGATAACTTCAAAGGAAAAAGGTGGTTTTTAATGCTCTATTGTTGTCTTCTTAGTTCTCTGGTTTTTTTTTTTTAATGTTATAGAGGCGAGGCGAGGCGAGGCAAGGTGAACATAATATAAGGAGGAATTGCATGCGAGCCGGAGAGAGAAATACAAATATATACCATCAAGGAGAATGACCAGTTGCTTCTTTCCTGGACCAATCTTTTTTCTCTTTTGATACTCAGACTTCCTCTTTGATATTCTCTCTTCAGTCAGCCATGGAGACAGGGACTCGCAGTAAAAGATAAAAAAAACAAAAAAACACACACCCACAAAAGGTGGGATAGGGTTTCCTTCTGCTAAATTCTCGCCCAAAGAGAGGGGTAGGGTTTTCCTTCAATTACAACGGAAAAAGGCTTCCACTCATCAAGTTCACCTTTGGGGGGCCTTTCGCATGACCCATTTTGATAATATGATCATTCATTCTTTTGGCCCATTTTGAGAATCTGATTTATTTATTCTTTTGATATTTATATGTAAATTATTCACATACAAAATTTATTTTGTTCGATAATTTTAATCATATTTAATTACTTATCGTTCATTTATTTATTTTTTCTCTAAATAAATGATGAAAATACATAGCTATAATTACCAAATATATCTGATTTTTTTTTAATTAATAGTCTACATACAAGAAATTAGAAGTTGAATGATTCATATCATTGAAATAGACCCCAATGACTTGACTAGATAGTCCAAATCATTTATGAGAATTGGATACAAATCCTTCCCATCATAACCGGCCTTTTTGGTTGTTAATCTATTCTATTATATAAAACCTATGAATAAATTAGTGTAAATTGTCAAAAGAAAAAAAATTTCCAAAGTAATTCTAAACTTGATAATTGTTCCTCTCATATTTAACTACTTCAAATATAAGTGTCATAATTATGAGATCTAATTACTTTAAACAATTGTCATGATACACACGTTATGTGTGTACCCTTAATATTATAATATATAATATAAAGCTTACAATTAAATTAGTGCAATGTCATACATATATATATATTAAAAATGCCCACAAGAGTCAGCTATGCTATTATTCAAATTTTTTTAAAATATTTTTTCAACTGCCTGGTAACGCACATGATTTTTTTCAACCACAAATTATGTGCTCTCAGCCTTCTAGTTATTTATAAAATACTATAGCTTGGAAATTTTTTAGCAAACTCACAACCGTTTTTGAAATTGCAAGATAGATCCTCAATGGCTCAAGTTAAAATAGCTTTGTCAAAATTATTTTTTGGCTTACTACAATGCACAAAACTTATTTTTTTGGTTATACCATTCTAATAGGGACTTGCCATTTTGGCACAACCAAATGCCAAATTCAAATTTGGGTTGTAAATTGTTCTAAATTTGTGTTCAAATTTGGGTTCTAAATTATTCTAAAATTTTGTACAATCTAGAAACTTTCCATATTCAAAAAATTTGAGGGTTCCAAATTAAATTTGGAAAGCTGAATTTCTAGACGGATCTTTATTGAGTTTTTGTAATTTTATAAATTTATTGTGGTTTGAAAATTTATGGTAGAGTTTTGATTTGTAGAAGTTGTGAAACTAACAGTTGGAGGTTCAAAAAAACAGCTGACTTTGCCATTTTTTGGCATGGCAAATGGCACACCATTAGTGTAGTGCATTTGTGAAGCCACGTTATTTTTTGGCTTTGGCAAGGCAAATAGAAAAACCATTGGAGTTGCTCTTAGAATCCAAGTTTATACTCAGCTGTGCTAGAAGTGAGGAAAAAAATCCGTGGACTTGTAAATTTATTTTGTACACTTTCTAATTTTTCTTTTCTTTTTTTTTTTTTGAAACTGATATTTCAAATTGTGTTTTTAGATTAAGGTGAAATGATTTAGATGTGGTTTGGTAACATTTACATTTTATTATTTTTATTTTACAAAAAATATTAAATATGTTTATGTTTATTTTAGGTAAAAATGAAAACAAAAAACAAATTTGACGTACATGTTTTAAAAAACTTATTTTGAAAAAAAGTGAAAGAATTGGTCTGCAGGAGGTAGTTGTAGACGGTTGAAGATGATGGCCAGATTTGGTTGTTTGCCTCCGAAGGTGGCGGCCGAAAGTAAGTGCCACTGGTGGGATGTGGTTAGTGGTGGCCAAAAGTGATTGCCAATAGTGAGAGGTCACGGTCGAAAGTGGTTGACGGTCGGAAATAATGGCCGCTCGATCATCTAAAGTGCTAGTTAAAGCTTGTTTCTAAAAAGAAGTGGTGACCGAAGGTGGTTATCACAAGTGGGAGGTGATTGATGACCAAGGGAAGTGGTGGGCGAAGTGGTTGGCGGAAGTGGTGGAAATAATGAGTAGTGGGTGATGATTGAAAAGGGTGGGCGAAAGAGGAAGAAATTGGGGGGGAATTAAATTGTGAAACTAGTTTTTTTTGTGTTTAGAAAATTTTTGTAAACAAAAACATAAACCAAACAAATTTTTATTTACAATTTCAAAAATTCTAAACAGCAGCAAGAAAGAAAATCTAAATGGTGTTGGATCACAACTGTGTTTGTTGGCAAGAGCATTTGCACTGAAAACATATTGACATACATCCCTATCTAACTTGGATAAAAAAATTTCAACACGTGATTCTATTTATCGTCAAATTTATTTTATTTTATCATAATTGTCATGTATGATTGAAATATTTTAGAGCAAATTACACTGTTAGTTCTTGAATTTTGTCCACCGTGTCATTTTCGTCCCCACACTTTCAATTGGCTTGATTTTAATCCTTGATTTTTTATATTGTGTCAATCTGGTTCAATTGATAATACTAATTGTGATTTTTGTCAAAAAATGATTACTAAGTTGTTTGAGCTTAATTTACTGAGTTAGATAAATTTATAATTTTACTCTTAAAAGCATGACACGTATTCTTATGTGCACATTTTTCATAAAAAAATCAATAACAATTATAATCAATTGGATCAAATTGAGACAATATCATAAATTCAGGGCCAAAATCGAGCCAATTGAAATTATAAGGATCAAAATAACATGAGTGTCAAAGACTACCGTTGTAATTTGCCCAATATTTCATAATTGGTTAGAATTATGAAAAAATTTAGCACCAAATTGAATCTTTCAGTTTTGGTGGTTGAAGAATCGAAATAAACCGCATATTACAATTCAATTTTGTTGGTTTTGTCAATTTGGTGTAGAAGAAGGATTCACATGAAATTTTAAAATATTTTATAAAAACTTGTAAAATTCCACATTGGGAATAAATGAAGAAAAATAGTGAAAATGTCTCCCTCTTAGTTTTTATTACAAAAATTGAATTATTAATCACTTAAAAAATAAAAAATTTTCAATATAATATTTCAATTGATTCTGTTTATATTAGTGTAAAAAATTTCAAAATCAAAACAGACAACCCAATATGAAAAATAGACATGAAACTAAAATTTTGATCAATTTTGAGCAATCATTTCGGTTTCATTGATTTTTCTTACACCCCTAATCTTTCAGTTTATATTAATGTAAAAATTTTCAAAATCGAAATAAAATACCAGTATAAAAAAAATGCATCGAAAACTTAAAATTCGGTTGATCCTGAGTGGTCAATTTGGTTTCATCGATTTTTTTTACACCCCTAATCTTTCATGTGACATGGTAAGTTCTACTATTTTTTTAATATGATTTTTTTTACACATGTACATGACTTTTATAGTATAAATACAAGAGGTGAAATGGAGTCGTTGGTAAATAATAGCTCTCTCATTTTATTTCACGTTTTTATATGTAACAATAGTGTGTATGCATAGGATTTATTATATTTATAAAATAATAAAACATACCAGACCATATGAGAAAGCAAATTGTTATTCATACAAAATTTATCACTAAAATGACGTGGCAATGACATTTTTGCAATAAAACGTCATTTAAACAGTAAGGTCCCAATTTATTTAAATGAAGAAACAGATTTGAAACAGTAGAAAATCCAACAAATTCAGAATCAAACCCAATTTATACAATTTTTTTGCCAAATTCACAAATTTCAGAATAAATTTGACAAACCCAAATTCGGTTTCTCTCTTTTTTTTTTAATCATTTATCACCAAATCAGTTGATCCAAATGGAGTGAAAAAATCAGATGGATATTATCACAATAAACCAAACCAAAATCAGATGGATGTTCTTTGAAGATCAAAATAAATATCAAAATAAAATAAATGGATGAACAAAAATAGTTGGATGAACAAAAATTAAACCAAAAATCAAAATAAATAATTACGAAAAATCGGAGAGCACAGACTTGAGTTGTTTGAAGATCTGGAGATGCTTGAGTTCTTTGAAGATCCGGTTTGAAGCCATCGCGAGACCTGAGTTTGAAAAATCGCGATCACCTCCACATCAACAAACAGAAAAATAAACAAAAAATCAAAGTGTATATATATATATGATGTGTATATAGACGGAGAGCGAGAGAGAGAGAGACAGATCGGAGAGTAAAGAGGTCGAAGAGTATAGAGATCGGTGAAGAGAGGGAAGACAGTGCGAGAGTGAGAGTGAGAGCGAGAGTGAGAGAGAGAGAGATCAGTTTGAGGAGAGGGAAGATAGTGCGAGAGAGAGAGAGATCGGTTTGAGATCGGTTTGAGGAGAGTGAGAGGGAAGACAGAGTGACTGGGAGAGGGAAGACGGTGTGATGAGAGTGAGAGGAGAGGGTTGGATGATTCTAGAGAATCATCTCAACCATTGAACATTTTGGACGTTTGTGATCTACCACTCTGCCCTTAAAACAGCCGTTGTGTTCTGTTTGGTTTTAAAAAAAAAAAAATTTAATAACAACAGTTATCTTTAAACGGTTATTTTTTTCAAACAGTAATATTTCAAATTTCTATAGCTAATTAATAATTGTTTATTTTTTATATATAGTTAAAAAAATTTATTAAATATGTAATGATATATTTTTTGGTGGGATGAATTATATTTAAATTTTTTTCCAATTTCTCATTTTTTTTTCATTTTTTATATTTGTCTAGATAGAAATAATATAAATATATAATTTTTTTTTTTACAAATAGGTAAAAAAATGTCACAAAAGAAAAAAATAAACAAAAATAAAATTACAAAAAAACCTATATCCAAACAACACTTTACAAATTTGGAAATAAAGTTTGTTAAGATTTGCTAAAATAACAAATGACTATTTAAGTACCATTGCTATAATTTGACAAAATAACACTATTCATTGCCAAATTATAGCAATAGCAATGGCAATAGCATTATAGCAGCAATGGTTGTCGTTCAAAATCGATTTATTATGTATGCAAGTCAAACTTGAAAGTATAATTTATTGGACTTAATCTAATAACTAGGAATTGTTTGATTCGCTAAAACAAGTTAAAATAATTATTCCTTAAACTTTCGTATGAAATTATCATTCTTTTATAATGTGAATGATGATTCAATTTAGGGTGTATTTTTTATTATTTTTTTAGTGAATCAAAGGTGATGATAAATATTTTAATAGATTAATCATGTTATTCCACTTCATTCCAATAGTGAAGCAAATAAAGCATTATCCAAACAAGACACTGCTTACCCAAACAATGATTGGTATTAAATAACTACGCTGAAGAATAATTTTCAATAAGAACAATAAAATATTTTCCTTGCTTGGCCAATTACACATCACACACATACAAAGAATCCAGAGTGGCCCATACAATTTTTATTCTACGGTTAAGGAGGTCAAAGTGTTGCACGCATAAAATCAAGAAAACGACGTCGCCACTTAGGTTATGTGGGAAATCAATCGTTATAAAAAGGATTAGGTGTAACGCCCTCAAAATAATAATATTAAACCATCAAATAAGACATGCATTGACATATAAACTAACCACATCTCTTTATTCCTTAGAGTTCCATTACATAAGTATTACATGTTAACATCATAACAAAATGCCCTACGGGCTTACAGCTTTCCAAGTTAACACTTGGTTACAACAAAAGAGTACTAACTCGTTTACACATTAAGCCCTTGGCTTGAAGTTACATGTAATACATCAAAAGTTAAGCGACAAAAGTATGTCCGCCACAAGCCTCCAGCTATGTCCTTGGAGGTGGCATGCTTCCTGCACCTGAAAATGATATTCCCATATAGGGTGAGCCACAGCCCAGTAGAAATACACTAAACCAACCATGAACAATGACTAAAATATTAGCAATTGATAGTTGGTCAACACTGATACAATCACATAAATCACATATTTATGTCATACGACTTAAGAGTCCAAGTTTCCTTTCATTTTCCCTTTTTCAACAGACAAGCATGCTAGCTCTATCATCATTCCCTCAGATATGTATAAAAACTATATCCCACATTCAGATAAGCATATAAGCTATATCCACATTCTCAACAGATATGTATATCAACAATATCCCACATTCACAGATAAGCATATAAGCTATATCCACACTTTACCAAGATAAGCATATGAGCTCTATCTTCACTTCTCTAGACAAGCATATGAGCTGTATCTACGGAGTTCATCCCCTATCTTCTCCCAACACTATCCGGTTTAGAGGTACATCCCCTATCTTCCCCTAAACCGCGGAGTACATCCCCTATCTCCTCCTCTACACATAACGTATATAAACACATTGGTTCTATATACATGTCACGACCCAAACCCGGCCCTATGGGTTTAGCACCGTAACCGGCCAGTAATCCGAGATTACCGAAGGCCTGCAGAACAGTAATACAGTAAGACAGAGTACAGGGCCTGGCGGAAGCCAATACAGTAAATAAATAGTGTCCATTGAGCTGTGACATTCTGTATGCAAAAGGACTTTTCACACATTTATACATAAACAGTGCAGAACAGTATACACAATATTTACAATCATTCAACTAGGGACTCAACCCTACAGAACAGTACAGAAAACATTCCGTCTGTACAAAACAGCACGGTCTATACAAAACAGTAAAACAGTACAGAAGGGGGAAAAACAGACAAAACACCCCCAAGCCATAGCATGGCAACTCGGAACCTCGCAGTGAGGCACAAAGGCTGGCTTGACAAAACTGGAGTAACCCTGACGCCTCTAGCTGCGGTCTGGTGCCTGAACACCTACATATATATATGAGCAGTGAGCTAAAGCCCAGTGAATAACACAATATGTAAAGAGGTTAAGAATGAATGTCCTTACAGTATGAAAACAGTTCATTTCAATCAGTAATTCAGTTGCTCAGTACAGTAAACAGTCATATGTGGTACATCCATTAGCACAACAGTAACAGTAGGTCTTAAAAGACCGAACAGTAATGATGACCATCAGTCAGTAAACAGTAGTGGTTCCAACAAGGGAACCGACAGAGATTCTGTAACAGTAACAGTAACAGTAAACAGTAGGTACTAAGGATGCCACAGTACAGTTCAGAAATAAAGGACATACATTCATTCAGTAAATAATACCAGTTCAGTAAACAGTTCAGTTCAGTATTCAAAAGATATCAGTTGAACATATCTTTACACAATTGTTACTCACAGAGTTCTGGGCTACAGTATGCTAGAGCGTGTCTCCCCAGTCGCCAACCCTAACAATTACACAGATTGAACACACACTAAGCTACACAGCTGGGAAAGATGATAACTTAATCCCTAATTTGCCTAGGTGTGTTCTACAACGATATCCTCATTCATTCCCACAATTTCAAGAAGAGGAAGCTGATATCTGTTGGTTTTATATGTGCAATCCATAATTAATATATGTGGGAAAGACCGAAATAAGTCCAAACTAGTAGGATGTGCCTAAAACAAGTCTGTCACAGTCATCGTGGACTTTTCAGACCGATGGCGCTCAATGTAATTATACTTGGCCAATTCACCTAATAAGTGTTGCATCTGTGATCTTCCAGCTCTCTGTACCACCCTGTTTCGATGGCGTACATTGTAAATGGTTTTAAGTGTGCTTACATTGAGGGCATCTCGCTGTTTCAAGGTTACTAGGATTTCTTTTGGCCGAACCATGCTCTTTGACATATCCATTAACAATGCTTTCTCATCCTTTGATAGCCTCCCCGCATATGAATGTCCCTCGAGGTGCTCTGCAGGTGGATGATTATGCAATCCGCATACTACAGTCAATGTCCATTCATCATATGTGGTAAACCTGTGAGCCCTCATATCAAAAGGACAACCACACTTCTTCGTACCGGTTATTTTTGATGTATTGTTGCCATCATGTTTTAACTTCTTTGTTGCTCTATATTGGCCACTCCTCTCACAAGCAAGATACATCCTGGGTCTTTTTTTCCCTCCACCATAGTCTGATGTTTTGATTACAATGACCAAACCATTTCTCTTTCCAACTTCACGTACCCAGTTGAGCAATTCATCCTTACTTTTGAATACCTACAAAGTTAAATAAATATTATCAAACATTTACATTTGGTGAGCAATTCAAAACATAATCGTTATAATTTCGTAGACTGAACCTGTTCAGTTGTGAAATGAGTGGTGTAATCTAACACAAAATCCGCGCAAACCTGACTTCCTTGAGTTGACACATATTCCTGCATGTTTTATATAACATTACAAATTTTTAATGGCATTATAAAGATTAATTTGCAATTTGAAACTTTAAATTTGGTATGCAGTTTGCAAATTTGGAATATAAAATGGAAAAAAAAAATATTTACTTCATTCAGAAGTAGTTATCCGAATTTTTTTTCAAATTTCGGAAGTTGAATGTTGTACAAGTTAATTTTTTTCGGACAACAACTTCCGAATTTGAATACATTTTTTGGACAACAACTTCCGAAATTTATCAATTTTTTCGGACATCAACTTCCGAAAATAAATAATTATTTCGGTAGTACATTTCCGAACAAAATAACAAAATTTGGCTCTGGTTATCCGAACGACGCTACGAAAAAAAAAAATTTTAACTCACATTTCCTTCGCTCTGCTTCACATGAATACTTATTTGCTGATTTTCAGAAGGCAAATCCTCCATCACAATGATGTTTTCCCTACAGAAATGCCAAAGCCCTTTGTAAAAAATGAAAACCCTACAGAAATGCCAAAGCCATTTTCAAAGAAGCATGCCAAACCAGTGGCATTGAGATGTTTTCATTGGGATGTTTTCAACTCTGAGGTGTTCATTGAGATGTTTTCAATTAACAATGGTGTCTAAAATGGTAATTTCACGTATGGATAAAATTGTAATAAAATTAAATATCATTAAGTGTGTGTATTGAGGGTATTAGGTGTGTGTATATAGAAGCTCCCATTCTTGTTTTGCCTGCTGAGAGTAATGGGAGAGAAAGAGGCACCAGTTTGGGATATATTATTACTCCCTCCGTCCCAAAATATTAGTCCCTTATTCCATTTTTCATTGTCCCAAAATATTAGTCCCTCTTTATAAATCAAGTACAAAAATAATGTAAATTTCCTATTTTGCCCTTCTTTTAAACTAATAAACAATTTAAAAAGTACAATTATGACATTGATATTCCCAAAAAATGTACTATAAAAGGGTAATTTTGGAAAACTAACTTTTTTCAAATGCAATAAGTGTACTACCAAAAAAAGTTGGATTCCCCAAAAGGGACCAATATTTTGGGACGGAGGGAGTATAT